CCGACTGGTTTCCACGACAGCTTTATCAAGGCGATCACGTCTGGTCGTATGTTTTGTTGGCTACATTAATATGAATATGAAGATGAAATAATCATTTAATTGTATAATCATTATTCAAGAATAATTGTATAGTTCGATTCTCTAAAAATAGTTCTTGTGACCATTTTTCTATGTGTCACAGCAACGGTAAGTCTTTAGTGAAGATGCCAAAAGAATTACGAACATAGTTACGTTGTAGGTGATATTGTCCAGTGTTCGCACATCGCAATATGAATCAAGGCCGATTTATGTGAGAGGATATTTTCATTCCATTTAAATTTTGATTGCTTTTAGCAACAGTTAGTGTTTACAATGTATTTTTCAGAATTACATGATATCTCGTTTGCCGCAATCTCATCCAGCTGTTGATTATACCGGTAAGTGTAGGAAATATGTCAGTAATTAACCTTTTATTGTCCACCTGTTTCAAAACTAATGTATTCAAACTTACTAATTAAGAAGTTAAGAAATTTTTAGGGAAATTTCCCTACAATGAAGATTTTTGACTTTTTAATTGCATAGAAAACATTATTATTATCTGCAGCAGCAGCAGCAACAGCAACCACAGCAGGGATCAAGTGCTACATCGAGTAATGGAACAGGCTCAAATGGACCTAATAGTCAATCGGCTACACCTCAGTTTCAGCTATTGGATTAATTTTCAAACTAAAACAATTGCTGAAATCCATAACTTAAAATCATCTCAAAAGTAAATGGTTAAGTAAAGAGCAGTGAAGATTGGATTTAGCGATCTACCGCCATATGCAAATTTCAAAATGATAATGAGCGACGTAAAACTTATCAGTATAAAAGTTTTTGATGTGTTTAAAAAGAGCAATCCTCTTTGTGTCATAATTTTTGGGTGGCTGCGCAAATAAATTGAGGTCATCTTTCCGTACTGAAGAACGCTTTATTGGTGTCAAAAAACATAAAGGTTTTATGCATTCAGGCCGTGACGTAAATAGTTAATTGAATTAACAATTTCAAAGCTTTTTAATTAGTTCTGTACCTTCTTATATCCGCCACTTTAGGCAAAGATTTCAGTAATAAAACAAATGCTAAATAAAATTTATCGATATGGAAATAGAAACTACACGGAATTACACTGATTGGACTGTGCAGCTTTTCACATGAAGGACACAGTCAGTTTTCTCAACAACAGTGAAAAACAACTGACCGACGGCTATTGGTCATTTGCAAGACTCAGATTGTTAACAAATACATTTTCCAGTAAAATTTTACAAGTCAATATTTCAGAAATGTGGCACTGCGTAATTTGCATTTATGTTCTCTTTATAATGACTATGTCGATAAGAGTGGTACTGTTATCACAATCATCTCTTCCAAAGATGGCTCAAGTAATTGAGAGTATACGAAGCGCAAAGGAAAAGAGAAATGAAGTATGCGATGAAACGGATAAAATTGCAAATTGGTTCGTGATTGGATTGTTATCCAATCAAAGATAATGAACATATTTGTATTTTAAACAGAAAAAGATTGAATTGTATTCTGATTGCATTACGCAATTTTTCACTCAACTGAACTTACCCTGCGCTACTCTCGGATTCCGGAATTTCTAATATTCCGGACTGATGTCTCCACTTCAGTTAGAAAGTTGATGGTAACCCAGGCTATAATTGTTAACAAACATCATTCTAAACATCATTTCAAGCTCAACATTAGCCGTGTGGAAACTTCGAGTGCAATCATTTCAGGAACATATATTGCACTGGTTTTATACTTGAAGCAATGAATCTGCACCAGGTGGAAATGGATTCAAAAACATTCGTTGACAGACCGTTGAAAGCGGACCCAGGTGAAAATGAACTTTTCGTTCATTTCATTGAGCGAATATCTTTTAAGGTCCAGAAATGCATTTCACAGTATAACATTCATATTTGCCGGAAATGCCTTTTTACAGGAATATATCGTCCACAGCACAAATATTGATTATACGCTTCATATATTTTAGAAGCGGTTTTGCGTGAATTTAAAAATGAATTCGGAAAAACGAAGGTAACGAACATTACTGCACGGAAGCTCATAGATTTTCGAAAACGTTTTTTCGGCGAACCAGGAACGGAATTAACCAGTTGCTTTATTCCGGATTGGAAGGAATTACCACCAAAAATCGCTCAAATAAAAGATAAAGATCTGAGACTTTTTGCATTATTTTTAAATCGACGATGGAAAGATCTATGCAGACAAGTGAGAAACGAAACATTACTCTTTAAAGAAGCAATTATTCGGGGTCATACTTCTATTAGGATAAAAGTGAAGAGTTAGTTCATGTAAATATATTTCAAGATCATTAAAATCGAGGATCCGAGACGGAATTCCTTGATCGAAGTACCTCATCCATTCATTGTGCCAGGAGGTAGATTCAGAGAATTTTACTATTGGGATGCATATTGGATTGTAAAAGGTTTGATTGCGAGTGACCTTTTAGTGATGGTCAAGAATATGCTGAAGAACTTCATCTATTGTGTCAAAAAATGAGTTTTTATTTTGAGTTGCAGCAAATTAATTTTGACCCATATTTCATCATCGGACTGCAAAACATAGATTTCTGTAAAACCGCACTAAATACAAGGGCCAATATCAGTGACTGTACTCACCGATCGAGATAAACGTTCAAGAAATAGAAATGTCAACTTATAAAAGGTCAGGTTAGGCAGGAACAAACTATGAACAACACTATCAGCACGAAGATTAAGGGAGATATTTTATTGGACAATATATAATCAGTTAGCCAACAGCAATATTTTCTTGAAGATATTTTTATGCAACAGATTGAAGTAATTTGTAGCTATCAATTAATTTCTAAGAAAGATTGATAAAAGCCAATGATTAATAAAAGGTAGAGCCAGTATCTTTTAAAGGAACGACTACAATTTCATCATGTTCTACAGTTGCTGTTCTCGACGACTCTTCTTTCCCCGTCATTCGGAATAATTACTTTTCCTTTATCAACAGAAAAAAAATAGTTATTCCGGATGACTCCATGTCCGGATAACGAGGTAGGAAGAGTTAGAGGAACATACTGATTTATTTCACCACTGTTCTTTCAATCTACTGGAATTATTGTGCAGTTCCAGGATAGGCGTTTATTTTAGGTTCGGATTTGTACCGAATGGCGGACGTATTTATTATTTAAGACGTTCACAACCACCATTTCTCATCCCAATGGTATATGAGTATTACGAGGCCACAGAAGATATCAAGTTTGTTCGAGAAAATTTCGATCATCTCGTGAGAGAATATGAATTTTGGGTGCAGAAAAGGTAAATGACCAGTAAAGATCTATTCAGACTTGGATATAATTGAGAAATACTTATTGGTAGACAAAATAATCTTTCTGGATTTTTCCGGTAAATTTTGAGCCGAAAATTTCCCTCAGTTTTCATGGGAATGATTAATGTGTCAATGATGAAACTTATATATACTTTTTGATATGATCTCTGATCTCCGTGCCTAATATATCATTTTTTGAAACATGAAGATAAGACGACGTTATTTGATCCTGAAAAGGTGAACAGTAGCAGAAATTTAAAATAACAAGTGAAAACATAAGATCAGGTCAGTGAAAGTAGAAGATAAGAATGGAAATAAACATATTGCATATCAGTATCGTACTACTTCAAACGTGCCTCGTCCGGAATCTTTCCGAGCTGATATTCAAGCTGCTCTAGAAATCGGAGAAAATGAGAGACAAAAATTTTTTCAGGTATTGATATTTTCAATAAACTATAATGACGAGATATTCTGTCCTATAATCTGTCGCGAATCTGTCGCTTGTAAAATATCATGGGAACTGTTTTTATATGTTATATTACATTGAAATTCTCATTGGACGTCATTGGAACAGCTATTTTACAGAATATTGCATCAGCGGCGGAATCCGGATGGGTCTTTTCGTCACGGTGGTTTAGAGATCGAAAAACAATGAAAACCATTGAAACAACTAATGTTTTACCAGTCGACCTTAATGCATTACTTTGTTGGAATGTCAATATTCTCAAGTATTTTGCTAATATTATTGGTATATTTCCCGCTTCTTTGCTCTTTATGATATAATCTAGAACTTTCTTTCCTGAAAAAACTGTAACAATCAATTATGACAGGTAATGCGCAGAAAGCAGAAGAATTTGAGAAAAAGGGACGAGATGCTTGGAAAACCTTAAATGCCATATTTTACAACGATACAGGGAAAGCTTGGTTTGACTACAATTTGCGCACCAAATCGCACGAAGTCTTATTCTATCCTACCGTTGCGATGCCTCTATTCACAGGCTGTTACACAATGTTGGACTACGACAAATCGGCCAAAGTTATTAACTTTATGAACGTAAGTTCTGCCGTTTCTTTTGCGATGTCTTTCATCGACAATCAGAGCTATGAGATACGTACTGCATACTAGAATTCGGACGACAGTTGAGCCAGAAAAATTGATGAATGTCAAATTCAATTGAGCCAGAAAAATTGATGAATGTCGAATTCAACAAGTGATTCCAATTTCAATGCGGTGTAAATCGAAATAGTAGAAATCTGCACTGGATTCAAAGTTTTCACTGCTTTCGGTATCATTTGTATTCTCACACCTTGCAAATTGTTGGTCATCAACGTCTTTTCCTTAGTTTTAAAATAAAAAAAAACCGGTCTTTTCCTCAGTTTCAAAATAAATTTGAAGCCTATTTTAGCGATTGCACGTCTTTGATTATCCAAGTGGTATACCAGCAAGTCTAAGTAATACTGGGCAACAGTGGGATTTCCCGAACGGTTGGCCTCCCCTGCAGCATATAATCATTGAAGGGATGCGAAAATCCGATAATCCAGAAGCTCAAGAAATGGTAAATTAATATTGATGTTTTTTGTGCAGCAGTCTAAACTGTTTTCAAATCTTTGATATATTCCTTCCAAATCCTATGAAAGCATTTTTAAAATTCTAAAATCAGTATCGGTTGATTGTGAGGCTCTTATAGGCATTCAAACTAGCACGAAAATGGATATTAGCCAATTATAAGATTTATAATACAACCAAGAAAATGTGGGAGAAGGTTTGTTTTTGGTCTTTCGACTCAACCTTGACCTTTTTGAGAAATTTGTATCATAACATCTTTTAGGCCATCGACTAAATACTCCATCCATCATAGCTACCTTGCATTGTATACTACAAAAATCTTCAAAAAATCTTTACGAGCTTTTTCAAAAAAACTCTTTGTTATCAACAGAGTCGGTATCTTCTATAGAAGTTTCTATTTAATCACAGTAAGCCAGAATTGGCCATTTTGCATATCTTAGTATTCATTCCCGCTTGTTTAGGTTGATGTCAATGGAACCATTCCCAAGCCAGGAGCTGGCGGCGAGTATGATGTACAGGTATCACTAACCTATGAAATTCACACTATTTTGATAAATATTTATGCCCTTGCTTCATTATTGAAGTTGATCAAGTGCTTTTTGCTTTTTCCAGGATGGTTTTGGATGGACAAATGGTGCTATCCTGGATCTTCTTGTAACTTATCGTGACCGAATGACTATTCGAGGCACTGACCAGAGTATCTCTCATAGATCTACTAGACCATGTCGTAGTGAAGCATATCACATCCGTCACGACACAATTATATTCATAACACTTAGCGTCATTGTTTCTTATTTCTTCAGCTGTTAGATGTTACATAAGCAAACGATACGTTTATGCTGCACATTTTACCATTGAATGTATGTGATCATTGCATCCTCAACATATCTTTTCCAATCGATCGATAAGTGCCAATAAATTCTTTTTGTGAAAGTGTTAAAATTATCAGTTATCACTCAAATCTTATCTTTTCAACAAATATTTTTTCTAGGAAATTTTTTCTTTTCTCCCCAAGTCTATCATTCATTATTTACAATATCATTACAATATCATCGTGAGAAATTATGCTACGAAAGGATTTTTGCGGAGGAAGAATTGCAATCTATTTCATATATACAAGTACTACTATTAAATTATACCGTCATTCTTCGCTTCTTTTTGTGATTGACTGTCCCTTTTTATATCCAATTAAAACGAAGGCAGTTTCAATTGGCGGGCAGAAAGGGATAGTATTTCGTTTGCTTTTCTGTTTCTAAAAGGATTGGTTCTGTAAATTTTACTTGTCATTCCTAAAGTTTCTATTTGCCCCGCATTTCTCTGTTATTTCAAGTATTGTTGTTATCAACATTAATGATTCAGTCTTCAGATACAGGCATCTTGTCATACGTCTATTTTGTATCATTACAGGTGATTATCTGTAAAATCCATAGATAGTATTGACTTCACATTTTATACAGATAAATTAATGATCCGGAACATTGAGCTACATCGATTTCTTGAAAACTTTTTAAATGATATGTATGACTATTTTCAAGCAATTGAAGGGCTGTAAGGGCTTTCATTTGAAAAGAACTTTCCTTCGCATAGTGGTTTAGGAGTAATTTTCATCGCAATTTCAGAGCATCAATTAAAATGTACTACGTCTTCACTACTAATGATTTGATAAATTGAAGCTGGAGAATGAGTTCAATTGCAGGTTATCAAATTTTAAGGATAAAATCAAGTTGATTCGGAAAAAATACTCAAATAATATAACTGCTTAACTCAAATAATAATATGATTGTAATTTGAATTAAACATCTAATTCATTTATCTCAATGCGTAAATTTTGGCTTAATTTATTCAGGTTATATGATTAGAAATGAAAATAATTAAGACAAAAGTAAATTAAAGGAGTTAGTTACTTTAGTTATATTTTAAGCAAACATATGATGTCATCTAAAAATACAAGCACTTTAAATTTAATTCGTTCCAGTCACCTAAGAATACAAGCAAATTTAATTCATTCCAAAATTTAATATGGATGACTTAATCAGATGACACATCAAATTTATCCTTAAAACTAATTGCTGCATAGAAGGAACGACGTTAAAATTCACACCTGGTGAAAATATTGAAGTTGCGATATTGGCAGGTAACAAACTGCGCATACTTCATGTCGCTAAATATCATCAAATATCATCAAAATGAAGCCAGATATCATCAAAATGAAGCCATAGACTGGACAAGTAATAACAAAAAGAAAATTTTACAACTCATGGCTTCTCAACATGATCCAATGGGGTCTCAGTCGCCACGATTATAATGTTCAAGTCATTTTTCCAATTTATGTGAAAAAAGGGATTCTTGGGATCAAATAGACAACATTGGGAAACTCTAACAAGCAAGTGGCCAATATCTTGTTGTTCGAAATTCCGAAATTCATCCAGAATCAAGTTGGAGAGATATGGAAGGCGAAATTTTCACTTCGCTATATTTCAAGCAAACCCAGCAGATTTGGCTACAAGAGGACTTACACCGAAGCAACTAAGACACTTCAGACCGTGGTAATATGGTTCAAATGGTTAAAGGAAAAAAGTAGTTGGACAAATTAGGAATACGAATTATCGGAAGACGACGAAGAACGATAAGTATATTATGGTCACCACCATTGTCTACTGAGTATAACCAAATAACAATTGCTGATTACAAATTAGCAAAAGTGTAGAGATTAGACAAATACAATTGTGAAGGAATAACCGAAGCGGAAATGAACAATTGGAGCTCACACTACGATGAAAACAAGAAATTATAGAAATCAAGAACCCCACTAGAGAACTCGGATTTAGACGATAGTATTCACCCTATCTACCTGCCAAAACATCAACCCATAACTGAACTTCTTATCCAGCGAGTACAGATTTATGCCATGCTGGAATATCTCATACTTTATCCGAATTAAGACTGGATACCAAAAGGTAGAACAGAAATTAAACGAGTCTTAAATGAAAATAAATGCATGGTATGTAAATGCTGGACAGAAAACCATACAAGTTACCATGTACGTCTAATTTTCCAGAAAGTCGGTTAAACGTTCAAGAGTATTTGAAAATGTTGAACTGGATTAAGTTGCTTCCTGCTTCTGTCAAAATCAATCATTCATCAAATTACAAGAACTTTGAAATAAGATAAGATTGAGTCACCTGCGCTCAGGTCTAGTTAATTACTTAAGTATATGAATGCCATTTGATGAAAAGATTTCTTCAATGTTGTTTAATATTGCCATAAAACGAATCACCGACGAGAAAATGAAATCAACATAACAACTAATTATTATGATAACGGAAGAGAAAACAGTACCGATCTCTTCGGCCATCGTAAATCTATCCAATTACACGAAGATAAGACACAGGGATATACAGTTGACATAGAAAGTGGACTGACCAGTAACAATGCTTGTGGATGTAACGGTCGGTGACGTTGTACATGTAATAGTGGAACACAATTACACTTAATCAGCTTAATTATTGTACGACATGCAAATTATCTTCCGTCTTATATGAATCCACGATAGAATATTCCTTTTCCGGAGAGATGACCACTTCCGCATTTTCGTTTTCTTGCTCAGTAATTTTTGTCGTTGAACTTTGAAATTTTACCTTTAAAATTAGCCATGTAAACCAGACAGTTAGTCATACATTTACTTTCTCATCTTATTGCTATCAGTTGTTCCGTATTCGGTTCACACTAGATTTTAATCTTAGAAATGTATTCTTTTCTAGCAACCAACACATAAATAAACATTTTGAATTCCACATTCGAGAAAGTAAACAAGAAACATCGCTATAATGTAGCTTTTATTCTAATCAGAACTTCGGCTCTTGAATTGTGGAGTAATGATTTCACAAGATCAAATTACTGTGACGAGATTTTTTTTCAAACTTGGTTTAAGATCATTCGGCTCAAAATTAATCATATGCTATGTTGTTACTTATATGATCATACAATTATGACAATTTTAAAAGCAAAACATGAATTTGCATAACATGAATTGCAAATCATGAAACAAGCAAAACATGAATTTGCATATGGACTGATTTTTCAGTGATTTCTAAACAACAATAAATTTCAAGATTTATGCGCTTTTTCAAACTGCCAAAATTACTTCTTCCAAGAATCTTTTACGATTCCTGGTTGATTTAACCACTCGTTGTTAGCTAATTTATAAAAAGTACAGTTGATATGGAAACAAATGATAATGCCTTTGAACTAAGAGCTTACCAAGAATTATCAAAATTCTCGTTGGGATCTGTCGTCTTCGTGCCCTAAACTCTTTCAGAAAAAGAGGGATCTGTAGATTAGTTGTGATGATTAGCCTCGGATTTGCCATATTGTAAGGATTGAATCATCAACTGGAACCTTTGCAGCTTATCACTTTCGTTCGTGGTATAACTCAAAAGCTGATTATCTGGTAATCTATAAATTTTGCGGTGCTGATAGATGCAATAATCATTCACGAACTTTAGCTTTATACTAATATATGTGAATTGTCTTTGATTTCAATCATAGCTAGACAAATGCACTTGAAGACGTAATTCAAATATTTGAATTGGAAACGCTGACTACCCAAATAAAAAATGACTATGTTGGAAATAAAAACGCTCTCAGGTTTAAACTTAAAATAGCACTTGTTTTACCTAAAAATATTTGCTTGTTAATCATACTTATTTGTTGTCACGAAGTTCAAAAAGTTTCCTTTTTTTTCAAAAAATTACCATACATTTATGATATTCCCCTGTTTCGCCAATTTTTATCTAAATTAATTCTTCTGTTAAACCAAGATATATCCCACATATATGTGCATCTTCGCTCCGTGTGTGTGTGTGTGTGTGCCTGTGTCTGTGTCTGTGTCTCTGTGTGTGTGTGTGTGTGTGTGTGCGTATGTGTGTGTATTTGCATGTGATTTTTGCATGTGTATATTTACATGTTAGTTGTTTTTAAATTATTTTGTTGTTATTCTGGCATTATTGTTTGTAATTATCAAAAATGAAGATGGTAATTAATATTTTGGAGACGAAAATCACTAAAAGTTTGAAAAAATAGCACTATATCATAGAGTTAAAATTATCATACTTATCCACTAACCATATATCATACTTTATCATACTTATCCACTCACTGATATTTTAGTTTTATAAAATCCAAATTTTATCTTTTGAATTTTAATAGAGTTGAAGTCATAAGATTTTTGCTTAAAATAAAGAAACGAATGATTAGCAATCTTACTTTTCAAATCTCACTTCTCAAATATAATTGATTTCCTATCTGGAACGAAGAGGATGAAATCCTTTTCTCTTTCCACAAAATCTAGTCTATGACGCTTTGCCTGTATTTCGTTGATTACGGCCGCACATATCCTCGAACATTAATCGAGGGCATGAATTCCCACTGCTGCTGTTTTCTGTGCAGCTGTAAATTAGAATATGCAAACGATATGGATGACACTTATATATGTATATATTGTCCAGAATCTTTCAAAAATAATTAAATACTACGCAATACAGAAGTCATTATCATGTAAGCTTAAAAAGGAAAATTACATTATTCTAAATTGACATGTGCTGTCTATAGTTATTGCACAACATGTCTTTTCCTCGTTGTATAGTCGTGAGTCGGTTGTCACTTCACATGATTTCTGATCAGGAAAAAGAACAAATAACAGGATTATGGACATATGCTATGTATCATGGTGATATTATTTACTCATTTATTGTTTGCCTACTTGTCCAGATCAGGAAGAAAATTCATGAATCCAACCTTCCTTTGTCTAAGGAATTTTCAATTACAGGTCATCAATCCTGCATCATTTCAGCCTTACCTGCTTGAAGCTTCTGATATTCTTTATGTTCGATCATCTCTGATCATCTGAATCTGTTTCTCCCTTGTTTTGCACTCAAAATAATTCTCGAAAAATTGTCCAACCTTAAACTGACCTTACTCAATTCAAACATCCGAAGAGAGGTTGCAAATTGTCACATACGTCGGCTTACTCGGATAAAGCTCTCCGTTTTCTAATTGCGCATCAAATTTTAAGATCTTCAATCTAATGTGAACACAACTGATTCATATCACAATGTGTCGGAAAAACTCCGAAAGTCATAATGCAAATTTTCTGTCGGATTATCAAAATTAAAGGTATGTTCAAATAAAATTTCCACAATATCCAACAGACGGGATGACGAAATCTTGTAAAATTAAATCGACGAAGAGGATATAAGCTAACAGCGTAAAACAAAAAGTCTCAGTACCTACACAATTGACAGTGCCAAAGGGCACCCATACCTCCATGATAGCCCCATGGAACTTACAAAGCTCCTCCCTAATCCTTTATATATATATATATATATATATATATATATATATATATATATATATATATA